TAATGTCGGAGACAGAACGAGGTGCCTGCCTCCGCAGCCTGCAGCCCACCTTCCTCCGTGCACCCGATTGTGCTGGCTGCAGAGCAGACTGAAGAAGGCCACTCAGCCTGGGCACAACACGTGCCCGGCTCCCTCCTTGCTCTGAAGGGGATTGATCTTAAGCCCAAATTCAGGAAGAGGGATGCATTTGGAGCCCTCCAGGCTAGCAGGGAGCCCTTTGGTGATGAACGAACAATGGCCAGAGAGATCCCTTGACTGCCAGGATTCAATTTTCAAAATAATGATTCTTTAATCCTCACTTTATTTCTCAATGTGAGGAGTCTTACTCTTCTTACACTCACATTTAATCACCTCCCGTTCGGACACAAACATAGAAAGCTTCCTGAGCTACAGCTTGCTAGGTTCAGGTCTCAGCTGCTTGATGAGAGTCACAGCCTAATGGGACAGGGTTCGTCTTAGCTGGAGGGAAAGCTTTCTTTCCAATCGTGGTCTCCCCTCAACATAGGCCCTTTTATATAGATTGGTGGTTCTCAAACTGTTTGGTCTTGGAACCCCTCAATAATCTTGAAAATTACTGAGGAGGACCCCAAAAAGCTTTAGTTTATGTGGGTTACATCTATCAATGTTTACCAGATTAGAAATTAAAACTAAGAAATTTTTTAGATATTTATTTTTTCATTCATTTAAAAATAGTTAAAACCTCACTACATATTACATAAATAACATGTTTATGAAAAACAATTAAATTTTTCAAAATCAAAAAAATAGAAGAGTGACATTGCTTTGTGTTTTTATGAATCTCTTTAATGTCTGACTTAATCAAAGGCAACTGATTCTATCTGATTAAAGAATAGGAAGAAAACTGGCCTCAAAAAGACATATAGTTGGAAGGTGAGGAATATTTTCGTAGCCTTTTCAGATAATTGTGGATACTATACTATATCAAAATTGAACAAGTGGTGGTTTCTCAAAAGTTAGCTGGCATGTGGCATCTGAAACTGCATTAAAGAAACGTTTGTACTTCATTAGATGAAAATTCGTTGGTCTATCTTTCATGTCGAATGGATCTTTTACCTATGAGCGTTTTTTGTAACATGCATTGGTCATTGGGAAATTATTGGTTCACTGAGTTATGTAAAGCTTCCAAATGTTGACACATTTCATTATAAAATATTTTTAAGTCACATTTGTTAATATCAACAGTTTAATCAGAAAAATCTTTAAGTATTAGAAAGCCGTAAGCTTTCAGTGACAGATAAATGTTCTGCAAAATACTAATTTTCACTTGAAAGCTCAAATTTTAATATTGGCAACAAATATTGTCGTTCGAAATAAAAGGCTGGCTTCTTTCATTTACAAAAGAAAAAAGAAAATGTCAGTTATCCAAGTCTGATGAACCATAGTTTGTCATTTTAATTAAAAATGACATTCCGTGAACTAAGCGGCTAGTTGAGTTCCTGGCTCAGCCACACAACTGCTTTTCCTCCAGAAAAACCACTAACCTTTGACAGGCAGCAGAAGTACTTTACTTCTTTTCTTTTTATTTACCAAGATATTCAAAAGATGTAAACTCAAGAGTTTATTATTAATAAAATTAATAATTTTTACTACTTTATTCAAGACGTTGTTATGTAAAACTGGGCATTTTTCTGGTGATGCAGCCATAAAAACTACAGTTGGGTGCTGCTGACTTGACCCACGCTAAGCTTTACCCACCATTGTTTTCGTACCATCAGTGTAGCTATCAACACAATGAAATGGGCGAATAACATCTTAGAATTATTATGAAAATACATTTGACCCTGTGAACTCCCTATAGGGTCTTGGGCCCCCAAGGGTCTGCACGCCACACTTTCCAACTACTGGTATAGCTAGTAGTAACAGTTAACCTTTATTAAGCCCCAGTATGTGCCATACATGGTTATATGCATTATTTTAATCCTCAGATACATAGAGAGCCTAACATATTCTAGAGAATGTATTCTTTTTAACCTCTCGACCCTGGTACATTCTGGCTGCTCAGCTGCTAGTATATGGGAGCAAATTAAAATCTGAGAAATTTTTAATAGCGTTGCTGTTAGGAGTTTAAAGCTCCATTTTCTCAGTCCCAAAAGTGTTTAGACATTCAGAAGTTCACTGATTCAGCCCCGGTTTGCTTGGTGGGTGCTGAGTCTCTAGCACAGTTCAGACCACAAAATATGCTGTACATTTAGGGCTTTTGAGAATGTCCCTCCCCAAACCCTAATTTTCTTTCTTCTCATAGTTATTATTTCTATCACTTACTGGACCTTGGCCTCAAGGTCACACAAACAGCCCTAAATGCCATGCCTTCCACAGAATTACAGCTGCCCTTCACCAATGATGAGTCTTGCTTTCTCCTTTTCTGGCAGGACCTAGGGGCCACTTTTTTTTTTTTTACTGTGCTTTAACTTGGTCACACAGGTATATTTATTTATCCCATTCTCTGATACCTACCTTGAAAGCCAGCCTGGAGGAAGAATGGGGTGGAAGGTGTTTCCTGCTCTGTCCTTCCAGGCTAAAGAGTGGTTTCCTTTCCCATTTGTCCTCTAGTAAGGTTTTCTGTTCTACAGGTTCTAGTCTCTAGGCCATAAATGTTGATTTGGATTTTTAAGTCAATGTGAGACTAAGAGCTCACCCAAATCCTGAATTAATCTGAAAGTCAGGTTAAGGGAAAGCTAATATTTACTTGGTTTTATTATGACTCTGTAAAACTCCCTGTTGAAAAGAGGATGGCCCTTAAGCTGATTAACAATTCTACGTGATACTATCATTGCTTTTCTAATGTGGCAGGAACTGCAATGATGGGCTTTAGAGGGAATTGTACTTACAGGACTAGAAAAACTTACATTAGGTCTAAAAGTCTCTATATTTTTGTTTTTTATTCTTACTGCATATATTAACTAGGAGAAATGAGAACTTTTACCTTTGCACACTGAGGAAACAAGTTTCCTGAGGGAGCCCAGCCTAGCCTAGAGAGAACTTTCCCCCCCAGAGGGTACAGATAGTATCTAACCTCACAGATACTGGCCAGCAATCCCTGCCTAGTGAGATCTCTTAGGAACATCTTTTTTTTTTTTTTTTTTTTTTTTTTGAGACAGAGTCTCACTCTTTTGCCCTGGCTAGAGTGCCGTGGCGTCAGCCTAGCTCACAGCAACCTCAAATTCCTGGGCTCAAGTGATCCTGCTGCCTCAGCCTCCCGAGTAGCTGGGAGTACAGGCATGTGCCACCATGCCCGGCTAATTTTTTCTATATATATTTTTAGTCGTCCAGATAATTTCTTTCTATTTTTTTAGTAGAGACGGGGTCTCGCTCTTGCTCAGGCTGGTCTCAAACTCCTGAGCTCAAACAATCCACCCGCCTCGGCCTCCCAGAGTGCTAGGATTACAGGCGTGAGCCACCACACCTGGCCAGGAACATCTTTTAACTGTACACTGTACTTCTCTTTGACTTAGGTATCCTTTTTTAAGTTTTTCAGCTTATGTCTCCCATCTGAACCTAAAACACCCACAGGGTTGACAGACACAGCAGTAAGTTAAATTAAGCCTTTATATCTAGGTCTCTTTTAGAGCTTTGGTAACTGAGTTCTATTTTTATATCCTTGTGATGAGCCAAGACCATATGTAGAGCAGACATCTGCCATACATAGTGATATGGAGTAGAAACTTCCACTATTAGAGATGGCACAGGCCACCGAACGCTTCGATCTGAGTTTATTCCCAATTCTTTCACTGACTGACTGAGTGACCTTCATCACCCCTTTAGCTCTGCCTTTATCACCCACTCTGAATTCAGGATCTCGTGCCATCCATACCTTGCAGGACGGTGATATGCAGTGCCAGACTAGGAAGCATCTGTGATTTAAGAGCAGCATATCTCACCTCTGTCGTGGCATCTTCTGGAAGTGTGTATGGTATGGGGAGGGGTGGGCAATTCCTTCCCAGACATTCTAATGGGTCCCCTTCCACTTTGTCCTCCTGCTCACATCTGCCTCTCCCTCTGATCGTCTCCCCACACCAGCGCCATTCAGCAATTTTCAGGGCCATTTAGTACAACTTTGGAAGGTCCCATGGCTGGTTTGAGACCCACTTCAGTGGTCTTTCCTTTACTTGTATAACCAGTGGCATTTCTGTGTAACCAGTATGAGCCCCAGTAAATTCTGAATTCAAAGTGTTAGTGGTTTTTTTCTCTTGATGCTCATGAAAGTGGTTCATGATGCAGTGTCAGCTGACTCCTGCCAAAGATCCAGGGCAAAGAAGTCAGAAGTCAGGGTGATGGTCAGATGTCCAACTGCAAAGACTTTAGACTTGACACAGTGTTCTCTCGGTCCACTTCTCTCCATCTCCTGATATATTTTTTTGTTTCTATCATCTAAAATACCTCTTACAATTCTTGAATCAATGGCTTGGCTTAAATAGTTCATGGCATGTGGCGTCTTTAAAATAAATGTAGATAGTGTCTGTGGTAGAGACAGTACAGTGCTTACTATTGCTTCACTCTAAGGAAGCATTGACCAGTGTCTTCCTCTCATGCCTTCACCCACCCAGAATCAGTTGCTCCCTACTCTATCCCATGGCACTTACATGTACTCCCATTATAGTACCTATTGCATTGTATTATAAAATACAAATAAAATTAATTTATTATGAAATAAAAATGTAAAGAACTAGCTTGTAAGCTCTCTGAAGGCAAGGACAGAGTCTTTATCAGTCTCTTTCCAGCATCGATTCAAACATTGTTTAATCAAAATAGAATATTTAGTATTCTCAATTCATAATCAACATATTCTTTTCTTGTGTGGCTGGCACATTTGTCTTTTGAGGATATATTTTACTTCTTTTCATGTCATACCCCACCATTAAAATAATAAATAATAATTTTTTGACCTCAACTAACTGACGTGTTGAATGAGGTGGCTGAGATGCCCAGCTCTCCCTGAGCCATGACGCCCACAAGACTGGTCCCTCCTTTTGTCCTTCCAGCAACACTGAAGGAACTCATCTCACAGACAATGATCCGCTGGGCCCAAGAGGACCAGATCCAGGATGCAGAGCTGGTCCGGATGATGTTCAACCTCCTCCGGAGGCAGTACGACAGCATCGGGGAGCTGCTGCAGGCATTGCGGAAGACCTACACCATTAGCCAGGTCTCCGTGAGCGACACCATCAACCTGCTGGCTGCGCTGGGCCAGATTCGCTCCCTCCTCAGTGTCAGGATGGGCAAGGAGGAGGAACTACTCATGATCAACGGGCTGGGGTAAGTCGTTTACGGTTACGTGCAACTCCCTCTAGAGAGCTACGAGTGGGAAACCTGATTTAGCTTGGTATGTGGATATTCTGGAATCAGATCATATTAAATCTTTGTGCCCTGATTCTGATTTCACTCCTCATGGGGTTATATCCTTGCCGATTGAGTCACCTTTGTAACCTGAGAGGCCAAACTACCTGCTACTCCTTGTCAAAAGAAGTGTGGAGGAGTCCTGTAGAAAAGCAGTCATTTGGTTTGACTCTTATGGAAACCCAGGGAGGCCATATTTCAAAGAGAAAAAGCAAATGCTTAGAAATTGAGAAGCACTAAATATTTATATCAGCTAAAAATAGCATTTCACATATATTCCAACTGACCTAGGGCTGCCTTCTTATCTTTTCAACCCATCACTCTGACATTACTTCACCCCCCCCATGTATCTGTATGTTCTGATCCCTAAATTTTCATAGCATTGAGATAAGCAAGTTCTGCAGTCTCTCTTTTTTCCTTATCCTAGAGATATAATGAACAACAAGGTGTTTTACCAGCATCCCAACCTCATGAGAGTCCTTGGCATGCATGAGACAGTGATGGAGGTGATGGTGAACGTGTTGGGGACAGAGAAGTCTCAGGTAATGCTCTAAGGAGAACTTAGCCAGAACTCGACCCGTGGGGCAGGGGCACAAAAGCCACATGGCTGGTGTCCACTGCCTCAGTTACTCTTCCCAGGGAGTACGGGGACATGCACAATATTGGGAAGGAGCCCAGAGATGCTGCCAGATGGAATCCCACTGTGTAAAAGCTCCAGCGCGTGAATCTTGGGGGCTTTTTCTGTCCCCCCCACTGGGCCATCCACCTGCTAAGTTTACTTCCTGTGTTCCACAGCCCTGCTCCTCCCAAGGTGGAATAACTTCAGGTTCCACAGAGGAGCCTTGTGTGCTTCGTGCTGAGTCTGGAGAAGGCTGTTTTAAAGGAGAACAAGATCTTAATCATGACCTGGCAGCATTCCCTCAGGAGTGTGTGTGTTTCCCCTGTTAGCCAGGCTCCTGAGGCAACCAGTTTCCTTGCCAGCTCCCCCATAGGAACCTGCAGTCGGGGCAAGCTCCTGTTGACAAGGCGAAAGGAGTGGGGATAGACCACAACTGGGCATTTGTCCCAGCTTGTCCAGGATAGTCCTCAGGGTTAGATGGCTTCTGAAGACAGTAGATCGGATATGGCTTCAAATGTTGGAAACTCCAGAGTGCCAGGGTCCTAGAAATGAATGACCTCCAGTGCAGTTTCACCAGTGTTGGCAGGAGAGAGTGTGAAGGAAGAACAGAAGCTAATGTCATATCCCTCACTGGCTTCCTTCTGATCTCTTGGAAAAGTGAAAGCTCTCCAGGAGATCCCCGAGCAAATGTGTGGGTGCCTCAGCAAGCAGGCAGACTGAAGGACCCTATTTCTTAGTGCAGCCTCTGTGATTCTAAAGGAGGAAACCAAGCAAAGTTAACACTGACACCATTTACTGTGCATCGTAGGATCAAAACTAAGATGTGGCCCGGCTGGAGATGCTAATTACTTTGTCAAGAAGAGAGGCCAAGCACAATCAACAGTGATATAAGATGGCATCTCTGTACTAAATTGTGTAATCAAATTATGAGCGCTACGGGAGCCCATAGGAGAGCAATTATCAAGGAAAAAAGTAATTGGAGAAGGCTCACAGAGACAGAGGGTGATGCTCTTCAGGCTCCCATAGCCGTAGGGGCAGTGTTTACCCAGGGGCTTTGATATGCTGGTGGACCGTGTTTGTCTATGATCACCCATCTCCCTTTATGTTATTTCCCATCAGAGTTCTGTCCATTCCCTTCCTAATTGAAAACAACAATAGTCCAGTATAGGATCATGCAATCTCATGTGACATCCAAGGATGACTGGGATTCTTGTTTGGCATCCGTTTCCTTTGCAGGAAAGAGATTTTAGGAACTATAATTAGCTCTCAGTGATTTTGGAAGCTTCTTAGGTGCCCTCTACTCTCTGTCCCTCCACTGACTAAGAAAAAAAACAGAAGTAAGGAGAAAGTTCATTTTTCAGGGTGTTCTCAACTTGCAAGACCTTACCCACACAGGACTCTTTGAGGTCACATTTTTCACAAAGGCCTCATGATAGATTCTTTTCTCTGATGTTTCCTAATTGTTCCTACAGATTGCTTTTCCAAAGATGGTTGCTAGCTGCTGCCGCTTCCTTTGCTATTTTTGTCGAATTAGCCGGCAGAATCAGAAGGCCATGTTTGAGCATCTGAGTTACCTGCTGGAGAATAGCAGTGTTGGCCTAGGTATGTATGTCATGTTATAACTTCTACGTTCGAACTTGGAGGTTACACTCCTCTTGCTGGCCGCTTAGGAGATAAAGGGAGAAGCCACATGCACGCCTGCCTGATCTAAAAACAACTGAGATAGTGATGCCATGTCTATGTTCTCCATCCTAAGGAGGGATGTCGCTGCAACCAGCACTGGCAAGAGATTTGTGTTGGCATAGTCATGCAATTTTACTTCCTCTCTCTTGGAACCAGTGGCCCATGGTTTATGAAATGCTGCCTGGGATTGCAGATATAGTCTGGGGACACAGCTCCTCTCAGCCCACTCAGCTGACCAGGGAGCAATGCTAATGAGACCAAGGTCATGGATCCAATCTCTTCCTGGCAGGTTGGCATGCCTGTCCCATTAGCCAGCAGCAGTTACTTTCCTTAGCTGCAAGGCAGCCTGGCCAAGAGCAACTGTGGATAAACAGTGTAAATCCATCACCACCACTAGAAAGGCAAGTCAGTACACACGCCTAATTCACTGTTCTGGATATAAACCAAACAAATTTGTGGAGTACACAAATACATGCACTTGAAATCTGAAATCTCTTTTTTTTTTAATCAAATGCAACCTCAAAAAGCTACCAACCTTTTTATAAAATACCACCCAAGTTTTTCTTAATTCTAGCCTAAATACTGAATAAAATAAGAAAACTCAAAAACAGCACTGGTAACCAGATGAAACAATATGAGCTGATGTCATTTGATATTATTTTTAAATTCTAGGTGGTGGCCCCAGAAATGTCCAAGTCCTTTGGGTTTATTTGGTCAAGTGACATCTGAGATGGGGGCCCCAAGAAATTTTGTGTTAGAAAAGCTGTTGGAAAGACATGGTTCCAGCTGGTCCTGTGAATTGATTTTCTATTAATCCATATTCACAGTCAGTAATGAGTGTGGGGAGGAAGGACAGCAATTAGAGCTGTTCTTAAATTGGGCAGGCTGCCAGCAGTGTGAACTGGGTTTCGGTGTGTTTGCTGCCCTCTGCTGTCCACTTCTGTGCACTGCAGCCTCGGCTCAGCGCTGAGTGGTCTCTGTCCCTTTCTCCCTCCTTCTCCCCTCCTCCTTCCCCAGCCTCCCCGTCGATGAGGGGATCCACTCCGCTGGACGTGGCCGCTTCCTCTGTGATGGACAACAACGAGTTAGCGCTGGGCTTAGAGGAACCAGACCTCGAGAAGGTAACTGACCCTTGGGGAGGGGATGTGTTGTTCTCTTCTGCTTCAAGTGCAGCCAAGTCTGGGTTTCTAGTTATGACCAAAGGATCTCGCAGGGGCAGCAACAGCCAACTAAACAGACACGAATGTGTGGACATTTGTGTTCTTTGTATGTAGCCTCATTGGTCTGTAGGGAACATCACCAGGTGCCTGTGGTTCCTAATGAAGTTCTGTGTCATCTAATTGATAAGTCTTCATGTGAAGGAAAGAGCCATGACAGAAAATTGTATAATCAGTGTCCTTTCCATGTACAACTGAGACACAACTGGGCTGCCCTCCCCTGGGGTTGAGAATGGAGCTCATGGTGGTGGTGATGGTTGGGGCTGGTTCACCCACGTCTCTTCCCCATCCCTTTCTTGCCACTACGTCCTTGACCAGATGGCTGACGAGACTGGCGATGTACTTTCAGAGTGTGGAGAAGAGCAAGCTAGTCGGGGAGAGGGCCTGGGCAGTTGAAGGTCGTCTGTGGTCCAGCAGGTTTGGGAGCACAGGGAGAGGGCACCTGCCCCTGACAAGGGCATCAGGACGGCGACTCAGAAACAGTGATGACCCGACACTTGAGCGGAGGCTGCTCAGCCTCAGTCTTGTGGAAGCGTGTCAGGAATGTTCGAGGCTCAGAAGGAAAGCCTGGGGTGCCGGAGAGGCGGCAAGTTGAGTCTGACTGAGGCACGGAGTGCTGGGGTGGTGGTGGGAAATGGCGCAGGAGCCGCGAGGAACTGGACTTCGTGTAGCCGTTACCATAGGGAAGTGCATGCTCCTACAGGGTCGCCATGTGCCGGGCCCCACTCTGAAGGCTCCCCACAGACTGACTCATGTGACCTCAGAACAGCGTTTTTATTATTGCCCACCAGCTGTGGGCAAGGGAACAGAGGTGGAGAGAGATTGGGCAGCATCCTCAGTGTCATGGGGTTTGTCAGTGGCAGAGCCAGGAATCAAGGGCCTCAGGCTCCAGGCTCTGCTGGGACCAGTTACGTTACAGGACGTCCCCACAGAGCCAAGCACCGTGGAAACCACTGAAGGCCACCAGGCAGGCAAGCAGCATGACATGATTTGTATTTTAGAAAACATATCCCAGTTTCAGTAAGAAGAACTGACTGGAACGGAAACAAGACTTGAGGCAGAGAGAAAAGTCTCTGCAGTAATCCAAGCACACGATGGTGCTGGCTTCAAGTAACACCGGTGCAGTGATGTGAGGGGTGTTTGAATCCACGTGACCTTATACAAGAGGACATAGCAGCCATGGATCAGACTCTGGGCTGGCCTGCTTTTTTCTCTAAGGAGTACAGGAGGTGGGACAGATGCGAGGAGGCAGGTGATGAGTTTGCTTTAGGTCGTGTCAAGTGTGAGGAGCTCTAAAACTCCCTGATGGCACCGCCAAGAGAGGAGTTGGCTACGCAGCACTGTCTCGGGAGAGCTCTCAGAGCCGCACGTGGAGTGTGTCGAGGGCGACTGAAGCCCTGGGGTAGATGACCTGGCCCCAGAGTCCAGCCTGGAGCAAGGAGAGGAGCGTGGCCGGGCCAGAGCCCTGAGGACCGCCATCACCAAAAGGAATCACTGAGGAAAAGGCACCGACAAAATGTGAGGAGGAGGAGCCAGAGGGGTGGGAAATCCCAGAAAATGGGCATGAGAGGTGGAGAGGAAACATTATAACTATATATATTTTTTTCTGCTTTCCAAATAGTGAATGTGAGGAGGCTCAAAGAAAATGGGTGGAGGAAAGCGAGAGGGGAAAGTGTCGTTTCCACAGTGGGTGGCCTTCATCTGGCGAGGCAGCCACACAGGCAGCGTAGATAACGTTACCACTCGTGAAGGTGCTGGTGTGTCTGGCCTTGGCAGGCATCGTTGGCCAAGCTGCAGAACCGTGTCTGATCTGCTAAGATGGACCGATAATTACCCACCAAAACTTACTGCAGTTTTTGAGTTAGTAAATTCTGTTTAAAACGCATTGGCTGGTAATTACTGAGGGCCTGCCATGAACCAGACAGACAAAATGCCTGTGTTTATGTGTTAATTATATGATACAGTCCTCTTTTTGGAACCCAAAAATCTTCTTTTTAGCTGTATATATTTTTTAAAATGTATAAAACGTTAATAGGAAATGGAGTAGAAATTACACGGTACTGCATGCCTGTATTTATGCAGCAGATTTGTGGTAGTAGGAGGGTCTATTAGTTTCCTGGGGTTGTTATAATGAAGCATCACAGATTGGGTGGCTGAAACATCAGACATTTATTTTCTCACAGCTCTGGAGGCCAGAAGTCCAAGATCAAGGTGCCAGCGGGTTTGATTTCTTGGGAGGCCTCTCTTCCTGGTTTGCAGATGGCCACCTTATTGCTATGTCCTCACGTGGTCTTTCTCTGTGTGCACACATCCCTGGTATCTCTGCTGTCCAGGTTTCCTCTCCCCATGAGGACATCACCCTAACAGCCTCATTTGAACTTAATCACCACCCTAAAAGCCTTATCTCCAAATACAGTAATGCTCTAAGATACTGAACATTAGCGCTACAACATAGAACATTTGGGGGCACACAATTCAGTCCATGACAGAGGGGTTTGTCTTTGAATCGGTCATTTTATTTTGTTCTTTAGGGTCTTTTGCAATATCAAAGAGATAGTTTTAAAGTGATAATATTTGGGAGGGGGGCAAAAAAATGTAAGTGAAAACATTTTTATTATTTTGACAAACTCAGTAAATATTTCTGTTGGGCCTCATTAGGTTCCTAACAAATCATTAAATTAAAAGTAGAAGTTGGGGAAAGAATCTATTTACAGAGCTTGTCAAATATGATAGTTACCAAACAACCTGATACCATAATGGAGGAACCTGCTTTTTAAAATTCTATTAAGAGAAGTCCCAGTCTAATGTGACTTAGGGTTAACTTTCATAGGCTCCCGCAGCTGCAAGAGGAGTAAGTCAAAATGACCACAGGGAAATTTTAGAAGTTGCTCCTCTAGGCGCCGTAGGCCTATGTTGAAGGGACACCACCTCTCCCACCCCCTATATACAACACCAAGACCAAATACCATGCCACCCATCAAGACCGTGCATGCTAGCTGTTCCATACATGCTGTGTCTGTCTGTGGTCTCTGCTGCTCGTGGGACAGACTGCAATCAAACTCTATTATTCACACATTTAAATGGCAATAAATAGCTCAGTGTTTTAGGTGGTGAGATGATAACCTATGCCTCTGTGAAAAGCAGCTAAAGGGTCTTCTATGACAAGGTAATGTCACAAGGTTTTGAACTCAGTACCCTGTTCTAAGCCTCAGTTCACCTTTTGAGATGGTGCTGCTCGACGAAGACACCCAGCCTCCCTTGGAAGATGTCAGATGTACTGGATGCAGGCTCGCGAGCTAGGAGGTGGGAAATGGCACTTAGGAAACCTGTAAAGGGGCTTGAGGTTTGCCGGCCGCTTTTTCAAGGGGTGGCTCAGCACAGTTCCACAGACTCTCTTTAGACTCATGTTGGGAAATCACCCAAGTTTGTTTTGCAGGAGAGAACAACAAAGTACTGGTAAATGCCAGAGTTTCTCTCTTCCATTGATCACAGCAGAAATTAGGATTGAACAACGGCCCCACTTCAACACACACACACACACACACACACACACACACGCGCGCGCGCACAATTATTTTAGTGGCCAGTGAAATGCTCTGCCCCCGTGGCCCTGAAAACTCTTCCTAAATCTCACCCTGTTGGTGTTTCCCTGATATTGAGCTCCAAGCAGAATAGCAGTATCCTTACTAGTTTAAAAAGAAAAAAGTGTGATGATAGAGTCTTACTGAGTTTTTCCCTGGATTTATTATGCTTGCAAAATAACTTAAGAGTATTTGACATCAGCATATATGTGATTCTTTTAGTATTTATGGAGCAACTACTAGGTGCCAAGCCCTGGGGATTAAAAAATGAAAAAAACAAACAACAACAACAAAAATCACCATTCCCTGACTTTGAGGATTTTGCAGCACAGTGGATTCTCCTCTTCTTCCTGTATACATAAAATTTCAAAAGCAAATGAGAATAGCAGCTGCATTTTACACAAAGGTCTATTTGCCAGGCTTTTTGCCTGAAACCTGCTTCAAAGTAGGGCAGAATCTAAAATCCCCTACAAGATTCCAGTGCTGAGATCTTATGGTAAGTGTCTGGCAACCTGGAAGCAAAGAGAACACTACCAATCCCAGTCTTTAAACGGTCGCAGCCTCTTTTCTGGCCATCCCAACCTTAACATCTCAGCTTTTGACTTTAGACAGTTGCTATTGATGCAGAGTTTGAGGAGGGACCCCTGACTGATTACTCAAGGGCCCACTCAGGGGCTGATGTTTCGGCCTCGCAATACCATGGCCAAATGAACGTGGACAGTCACAGAGAACCTTCTCTCTCTCCACTGTTACCTCCCCAGATGTACCCTAGTTAGGCTTATTTTTAAATGACAATTTCCTCTTGCCAGAACTGGAAAAACCCAGGAACTGATGGTACATGGTGTGTTCCTACATAACAATGATAATCAGTCTTGTTAATTACTTGGAAACAGAAATGGACCGGAGGTTCTGGTTACAAATTTGAATTATTTACTTCAAAAATCTTGGGTTCTTTCTGGTTTCTAGGGAAACAAAAGCCTTTCAGTTCCCAGAATTTCACAAGTCTCACAACTATCTTGTAAAAAAACTTGAGCATTTCTTGCTTTGTTTTGCTTTGATTTGTTTTTGCCTTTAGTATATATGAATGGCTTAATTTTTTTATTGTGGTAAAATATATATCATATAAAATTTACCATCTTAATCATTTTTAAGTATATAGTTCAGTGGTATTAAGTACATTCATTAAGTTGTGCAACCATCACTACCATCCATCTCCATAACTCCTTTCATCTCCCAAAACTGAGACTCTGTATCCATTTAACAATAACCTCCCCTTCTCCGTAGCCCCTAGCAACCCCGTTCTTTCTGTCTCTATGGTTTTTACTACTCTACCTCATATGAGTGGAATCATACAGTATTTGTCTTTTTATAACTGGCTTATTCATTAACATACGTCCTCAAGGTTCATCAGGTTGTAGTATTTTATCAGAATTTCCTTTTTTTAATGGCAAATATTCCCTTGTATTTATGTACCACATTTTACTTGTCCATCCATCAATGGACACTTGGGTTGCTCACGCATTTCAGCTATTGTAAATAATACTGCTATGAATATGGGTATGAGATATCTCTTTGAGACCCTGCTTTTAATTCTGTTGGGTATATACCCAGAAGGGGAATTGCTGGATCAAATGGTATCTCTATTTTTAATTTTTTGAGGAACCTCCGTACTGTTTTCCACAGTGGCTGTACCATTTTACATTTCCACCAGCAGCAGCACACGAGGGTTCCAACTTCTCAACACCCTCACCAACACTTGTTATTTTCTGGGTCTTTTTAGTGGCAGCCATCCCAGTGTGTATGAGTAGACACCTACTTTTTGTACTGTTCTTGGCAGGTGGTGACCTACTTGGCAGGCTGTGGCCTGCAGAGCTGCCCCATGCTTCTGGCCAAAGGATACCCTGACGTCGGCTGGAACCCCATTGAAGGGGAACGCTACCTGTCCTTCCTGAGGTTTGCCGTCTTCGTGAACAGTGAGTCCTGTGTTTTCCATCCCTTGCACACTCAGGATGGTATAATCATGGATACATATGAGGAAAGGGGAATCCTTTCCATTGCTTCTTATCTAAAGATATAATAGATTCTGCAGGTGCTTGACGGCCGGCAAAAGAAATCTCAGGACAATCAGTCCTTACAAGGATCAAGAGTAGAGTCCAGTGAACAGAGCACTGAGCTCCAGCCCCAGATCCTGTAGGAAAATCACTGCAAGAAGGTGGACTTGTCACCTCTCTATTCCTCTCCTATCAGTAAAAGAGGGGCCTTATTAATATCGTCATTAATACCTCACCCATTTCACAGAGCTAAACGCACTTATGCCTCCAGATCCTTGGACTATTGTATGAATGGATGGATGAGTGAGTGAATGAATAAAATCAAGAACTGAATAGCTGTAAAAGATAACTCTCAGGAGAAAAAAATTACTATAGCAACCCTAAATATTATTATTCTTGATAAAAGTCACATCCCGTTTGTAGTGAATTCCAACTCTACCAAAATTCTTTAGTTGCACCAGAATAATGTACTGAATATTATGTAAAATAGTGGGCTAACTTTTCTGAAAATGTACCTTGTCTCCCAATACCAATTCACTTATATTTACATTGCAGTTACAATCCTTCTGCCTTATCTCAGTGTGGGGTTCCAGGCTGACAAATCCAACAGGGCTGGTTAAGTGATCTCGAAGAGGAATTGTAGCTAATATGCATTCGTGCCTAAGTTCTAAGTAGGAGAATTTATCTCAAAATATGTCGACATGATATGATCGTAATATTCCCATGCACTTTTCTTGTTGTCTCCCTCCACTCCTATTTCACCTACTTACCTTTCTTCACCAGGCAACACTGTATTCTTAATATCTGGATGATTTCTCTTCTGCTAGGTTTTCCCATGTCCTGACTAGATTGCATACCTCGAGATGGCTATGTGTTGTTCCCCTGGGGCCCACCCAGCCACATTCCTAACCAGTTCCTTTCTGCCTCTCTCTGTGTATTTGTCACTGTATCCTCCTCTTGTTCGTCACCAGCTTTCTAAGCTCCGTTTCCTTCTCTCCAGCCCAGTGTTAGAGTATCCTCTAATATAGTGTGGTCCACTTCCTTTCCAAATGAGCAATGTCCAGAATTAATGCAGAGTTACTATAGCAGTAAAGAGAATTATTTTGTGTGACGTGGATATTAATAATTTATACCGCTCACCAAATAATGTGAATAGACTGTATGACAGACAAACCAGAAGAAGGCAAGACCAATTTATTCATCTTGGTCACCTTCACAGCCAAGATCAAGAAGTTATGAGTCACTCAGTGGGACTATCTACCTGGGTCATGAAGGTAAATGAACCCATCAGCTGTGCTTCTCTGCAGATTGCCCAAATTTTAACACTTGCCTTTGCTGGTTGGGTACACCATACTGGCTAAACTCTAGACCAAACTGTTTGGTCCACTCCCTTTGTTTTCAGGTTGTTATATGTCTTTTAAACATATTTTCTATGCTACAGTTTTATAATACAAAAGCTCTAGCAAATTGGGCCATTGGTAGGAATATATGTGGCTTTTAATTTGATATTTATTGTGTCTCTATAATATAAAGGCCATGTTTGGTTTTGGCAAAGGATGTCAGCTTTTGCTTTCAAAGAATTTACAGTCTTTTAAAAAGAGCAGACATGGACAGAGATCACTGTAATGAAATTAAGTGGAGTAAGGCAGGGAGGAAGCACTGGAGGGCTTAAAGAGGGGAAACTCATTCAATTGAGAAGATCAGAAAAGGCTTCATGGAGGAGGTGATGTTAGAGATGAGCTCTGAAGGGTCAAGTTTCCAAATGCAGAGATCCAGTCAAGGAGCGCACAAGCGTACCTCGAAGGCTAAAGCATGCTGTGCTCAGGAAGCTCAGTGCTATGATTTCAATATGTCCCCCAAAAAGCATGTGTTAGAAACTTAATGCCAATGCAGCAGTATTGATAGGGGTGCCTACTGGGAGGTGTTTAGGTCATGCGGGCTCCCCCCTCATGAATGGATTAATGCTGACAATCAAAGAGTTCAAGGCTGCAAGTTCAATCTCTTGCTCTCTTACCTAGTCTGTGGTATTCTGTTATAGTCACACAAAACAGACTAAGACACCCAATTATCTGTCAGTCTGGAGAGTGGATACATTGATGGCCGTGGTAGGAGATGAGGTTTAAAAGATAGGTAGGTGGCTATAATGGGGAGAACCTAAATACCAAGCTGAAAAGTTTAGTATTGGTTAGTGTGTAGGAGCTGGGAAGCCTTTTCAAAACAAGACAAAGTGATGGGTACCACTGACAGGTTCTGTGCTCAGGTTGTAATAGTGAGTTTCTAAATTATAATGGTGTTGGTAGGCATGCACTGGAGGAGATACACTTGAGAGAAATTAGATAGAATTTACATAACTGGATGATGATGATGATGATGGTGGCTCATCCTGGATATGTTGAGAGAAAAGGAAGAGAGGTCACATTGAAGCTTGGAGATTTGAGGGTAGGGAGAAAAAATAAGGATGTCAGAAGGAAAAAATGGTCTAAGATGGAAAATAATGAGCTTAGTTTGGACCAGATTATATTTATTTTTCCATGTGCAATACACAAATAGAGAATGCTCCTAATTGGGTTTATAGGATAGAGATCAATCAGTCAACAAATTAGAACTGAGCAGATTTTCAGACCTTCTGTAGCTGAGATGGTTGAAGGTAGATTGTCACAGGTAAGAGCATGAAAAAGAGATATATGGAAAATATGAAAAAGAAAAGTTATAATATTTCTAAATACCTAGAGGAGATTGAAGAGTGGCTCAGTCACAACAGAGTGATATAGAAGAGTTTGGGCTGGAAAATGGAGGATCTTGGGTTTGAATTTGGCTCTATCACTTACTAGTTGTGTGAATTTAAGCAAGTTAATAAAACTTTCCTAGCCTCAGAGCTTGTTAAAAAAAATATTCTAGCCTCAGAGATAATAATACGAGTTGTGATAATAATGTGATGCATATGGAAAATATGAAAAAGAAAAGTTATAATATTTCTAAATACCTAGAGGAGATTGAAGAGTGGCTCAGTCACAACAGAGTGATATGGAAGAGTTTGGGCTGGAAAATGGAGGATCTTGGGTTTGAATTTGGCTCTATCACTTACTAGTCGTGTGAATTTAAGCAAGTTAATAAAACTTTCCTAGCCTCGGAGCTTGTTAAAAAAAATATTCTAGCCTCAGAGATAATAATACGAGTTGTGATAATAATGTGATGCTTAAATGAAATAATTCACAGAAAACTTACATTTGCATGTTGCCAGAAACATAGTAAGCCTGTAGTTGTGTCAGTTATCACTGCTGCTCATGATCTTTATGAGAGCATTAGGACATTTGAAATGGGAAGACTCTAATAAATAGATTCTCTGAGAATCTCAAAGCCCCTTTTAAGTCCTTGTGTCTAAAAGGTGATTAAAAGGACTTCCTGGCCACTTTTCTGGCCCCTGCTCAGCAATGAAAGATACAGGTGATTTGGGGGATCGTGGTAGATGATGGGGGTCTTCATGGTGGGCAATGGTTACTGGTAGTCGGGGTTCTCATGGTGGTGAATGGTGATGATAATGACAGTGGAATATGATGGTGGGTAGTGGTCATAGTGGGTTGTGGAGGTGATCAAGAGGGGCGGTGGTTAGTGATAGCAGAAGTTAGTGATGGTGATAGTGGGTGGCGGATATGATGATGATAATGATGGGTGGTGGTCACAGGGTGTTGTAAGGGTGACTGTGGTGGGTGGTGGTGAGGATGGTGGTGAGCATGGTAACAGCTAACACCTATTGAGCACTTACCATGGACCAGACATTGTTCAAAGCACTTTTTGCATGTATTGACTGACTTAAATTACACAACAATCCAATGAGTTAGTATCTTAGTCTGTTCAGGTTGCTATAATGAAAGACCGTAGAGTAGGTAATTTATAAACAACAGAAACTTATTTCTCGCAGTTCTGAAGGCTGGGAAGTCCAAGATCAAGGTACTGGCAAAGGCAGTGTCTGATGAGGTTTCCTGATTCATAAGTGGGGCCTTCCTGCCTGTGTACTCACATGGTGGCAGGAACAAGGCAGCTCTCAGGGGCCTCTTTTATAAGGCACAAATCCCATGCAGGAGGTTTCTGCCCTTATAACTTAATCATCTCCCAAAGGCCCCACAT